GTCAGCACAGGGGAGAGCGGGCACAGCTGCTCTGTGTGCTTCTCTCCTCTCACAGTGGAGTGTGTCCTCCAGGACCCAAAAACCCAAACTTTGGAGATAGGGTTGTGCTTCCACTAGAAATTCTGAAGGACCCTCTGCACACTGGTATATACCCTTTCAAGCAGACTATGCAATAAATAGGGATATTTAGTTCACACATATTGCAATACATGCTTAAGCTGGCCAACTGCGTCAAAGTAATCCCTCTATGGCCAGTCCTACTCTGCTCTGCCTACGCAAATGCTACTTTGGACACAATGCTAGCAGAGGGGAAAAGACACAATGGGGAGAGCTACAAGGTTCAGGTCTGGCTACTGACCCAACAATACAACAAACAAGAGATCCCTGTGCTCAAATCCCAACAGCTAGTGCATGAATTTATCCATCAGGTGCTAAAGGGGTGTAACCACATATTAACACTAGAAATTCTGAAGGACCCTCTGCACAGGGTGGTGCTTCCATCCCCTTACCAATCAGCTGCTGCACTGGCACGGTTTTAATGAGGAAAGTGGCAGGGTCTGCATCCCTTCAGACGTGATTTCCCTTTGGGGGTGCAGTAAGTCCCCTACTTACGAATCAGTTCCATTCTGGGAGCTTGTTCATAAGTCCAACTTGTTCGTAAGTCCAGCAAAGATCAGCGCTTGCAGATAATGGCTGTGAGTGCTGATCAGAGTGTTCAGAACACAAAGGCACAGTGGGGGAGATCGCCACACCAACATTGCTTGTGTTGGTACAGCGATCTGCTTTTTTTTTGTTCAGCCTGCTGTTCCCAGATTTACACAATTCGACATGCGAATACGTGTTTGCATCTTTGAAAGTTTGCATGTTAAACGTTTGTATGTAGGGGACTAACTGTATCTCACCAAAAAAGGCATTTTTGTTGCAGGGGATGCCAAAAATGTGACTTGTATCTAATGCCCCTTACCCATGATAAGAATCTCGGACAAATGATCATTTGTTTTGCTTTTTTTGCATGCTAAGCTCCATATCGAAAATGAAAAAGGTACTAAACTTACGAAAATTCTCGTACGAAAGAAAATAATTTTGAAAGTGATGTAATGTATTGTATTGAATTTTTGGGTGACTACTGTACTGAATTGAATAAACGAAAATCGTATGATCTGGTATCGTACAAGAAAAATTTTCACGCTTGTTCCTTCGGATATTGTTGCATGAATTGTAGTGATCGGCTCTTGAAAGCTGTGCACCAACGATCAGATTATCGGACAATCGGCCCTTTTATGAAAATTTCGTACAATTTTCCTATTGTGTGTAAAGGCCATTAGTGCAGACTTCTGGGAATATCAGTGAGCCAATTACTCAAGCAGGAAATGACTTGTCTGGGGGCCGTTCTGTACAGAATGCCTCCAGGTAGCCATATCGCATTGTATTTTACAGAAAATGACAGCTCTGCAGATTGAAAAGGAAGCACACATTTTAATAACATTCAATCATAATATGACTTGAAATGCAATTGTAGACGCTATATATATATATATATATATATATATATATATATATATATATATATATATATATATTTTTTTTTTTTTTTTTTTTTTTGTGCTAATTTTTTTTCCATGAAAGTGGAGTTACCCTAAGGCACTGCTCTAGAACAAGCATGGAAATATTGAAGCTGTCCAGAAAGCCATTGATCACCATGTCAGCAAAGCCATCTGAGGCAGCAATAGGGTCTCTTATAGCTTGATTGGTAAAAAGAAATCACACAATGATGGGGAACTTTTTTAGAGTGCAATTATTTTAGTAAATATAAACTGCTAAATACCTTTTTTCATCAGCAGTATATAGCAGTCTTGTGACTTCTATCAGCGTCCAGCTGAGCACTAGTTAAAGCTTGTAGGAGGAGTTTTCATTCTCTCCTATGAGGCTGCATAACCTCTGACCTCTGTCTGGACAGTGCTGATTGGCCCTGTGCTGATCACATGCACTCTCCCAAGAGAAAAAAACCTCTAGCAATTCACACAAAACTGAGCATGTGCAGAGTGACTCCACACAATATGTCTTATCAGGAGGGAGAACAATGTAAGAAGGGGAGGACCAGAGAAGACAGGATCAAACAGAAATTTTACACAATGCAGAGGATTAACCCCTTAGGTTCCACAGTGAGTATAACAAGCATGCTTTACTGCATATACAGACTGATTTTACTGTTGTGGGTTTAGTAACACTTTAAGCAGTTTTCCATTTATAATGCCATATTGTGAAATTATAGGATAAGTCATTGTTGTTTTCATGGCAAAATCAAGTTCAGACATACGTTCTCTCCATCCATAGAAAACACAGGTTTGCTAAGTAGAAAACCTCTGCTCCGTTATTCAATCAACACCTCTATGTAAGATATTGGACTGCTGAATCTCAAACAGATAGTGGAGCCATAAGTTGTCTAAAGTCGTACTAAAGAGCAATGGGTTAAACCAGTCTTTCTCAACCAGGGTGCCTTGAGGTTTCTTCAGCGGTGCCTTGGCAAAATGTCTAAAAAATTGCCCAAAACTTGTATACAAGCCAGCGGGTGGAAGAAGCCTGCCTTTTATTTACACAAAGCCACAGGTTTCCATTGTGCACCATTACGACCTTCTAGCCGCCTCCATCCTGACAACCAATGATATCTTCAGTTGATAAGAAGGATGTCAGCTGTCTGCACAGCATCCTAGTTTGCCCCTCCCCTGCCCCTCTTCATCAGTGCTGGGGTCACATTAGCTCAGTGATGGAGAAAAACTGAGGGAGAAGAGAAACACTGGAACACTAGTCAGTACCAGTGTGCAAAAGTGTATTTGCTTTGGAAGAATAAATCACCTCTTATGTTGGGTGACCTACATGTGTGGATGTTGCAGCATTATATAAAAAACTATTAGAATAGTTTTCACATTTTAGAATGGGGTGCCTCAAGACTGTCCATAGTTTTAAAGGGTGCCTGAGAACTGTCCGTAGTTTTAAAGGATGCCTCGGGACTATCCAGTGTTAAAGGGTGCCTCGGGACTGGACATAATTTTAAAGGGTGCCTCGGGGCTGTCCATAGTTTTAAAGGGTGCCTCTGGACTGTGCATAGTTTTAAAGGGTTTCTCGGGACTGTCCATAATTTTTAAGGATGCTTCGGGACTGTCCATAGTGTTAAAGGATGCCTCGGGACTGGCCATAATTTTTAAAGGGTGCCATGGGACTGTCCATAATTTTAAAGGGTACCTCAGGACTGTACATAAATTTAAAGGGTGCCTCGGAGCTGTCCATAGTTTTAAAGGGTGCCTTGGGACTGTCCATAATTTTAAAGGCTGCCTCGGGACTGTCCATAGTTTTAAAGGGTGCCTCGGGACTGCCCATAATTTTAATGGGTGCCTCGGGACTGTCCATAGTTTTAAAGGGTGCCTCGGGACTGCCCATAATTTTAATGGGTGCCTCGGGACTGTCCATAATTTTAATGGGTGCCTCGGGACTGTCCATAATTTTAATGGGTGCCTTGGGACTGTCCATCATTTTAAAGGCTGCCTCGGGACTGTCCATAATTTTAAAGGGTGCCTCGGGACTGGCCATAATTTTAAAGGGTGCCTCGGAATGGCCATAATTTTTAAAGGGTGCCATGGGACTGGCCATAATTTTAAAGGGTACCTCAGGACTGTCCATAAATTTAAAGGGTGTCTCAGAACTGTCCAAAATTTTAAAGGGTGCCTCGGGACTGTCCATAGTTTTAAAGGGTGCCTCAGGACTTTCCATAATTTTAAAAGGTGCCTCGGGACTGTCCATAGTTTTTAAAGGGTGCCTCGGGACTGTCCAGAATTTTAAAGGGTGCCTCAGGACTGTCCAAAATTTTAAAGGGTGCCTCGGGACTGTCCATAGTTTTTTAAAGGGTGCCTCGGGACTGTCCAGAACTTGAAAGGGTGCCTTTATTGAAAAAAGGTTGAGAAACACTGTGTTAAACTACTACTAGAACGAGGTCAGGGACTGACATGATTTAGCTGAGTCATAAATTACCAGTGACTGAACATTTGGAGGCAGCCAGCTGCCTACATCCAGCACCTCATTAACATGTTTCAGGCAAAATGCTAACAACTCCGCTGCTAATTCTACAATTACTAGCAATCCCTGAGCAGCTATGTGGATGTGCTGAGATCCAGGAAGACACTCCGGCCCCCGCTGGCCTAGCGCAGTGTGCGAAATGCTTTTAGTTTTTCACACAAGCCTGATGCATTGTTAATGCATGCTGGGAATATCACGTTAACACATGCCAGGAGGGGTAATAACATTACATTGCGCAGAATAATTTGCCGCTTAACAAAAGGAGGATCATGGCAGTACAGGGCGCTTCCTATATGTATCATAGGAACCGCAGTGCAGCTACAAGGTATAGGCGAACGTTTTAAGGGCCCAGAGAATCATCTATTACAGCCGTACAGGGAATGTTTTCTTAAATGATACACGGGCCTAAAATTAGATTTGCTTCCTGCTTTAGTAGGTGTTAGCATCTCATTTCAACAAGTAGTTTGTAGTTTACGGGACAGACAGCCTGGCTAATGCAGCGGGCTTCAGATCACTTGTGTGATCTCAATTGTTGCAATTTTTTTTATTTTTTTCACTTTCCAGAATCAAATTACTTCTATTCTTATCTATTCTTGTTGGATTTGAAGGATGGTCAAGCAATGGAGTCTGCCTGTCCCTGCCAGGACCTATAATTCATTTTAATCAAGAAGGTGGCCACCTCAGCAAGGGAAAAATTTAAGGAAACTATCAATATTCACACATTTTCGGTTCAAATTGTAACAAGGAAAGTCATTTTTTTGACATGACTTCCATTTTTGCTCGCTTATTGTTCCATATTTTGTTACTGTATTTCACATGTAGATTTGTGAATGCTCCCTCAAGTAACAATCTCCAAATCACTGACTTGAATTAGCATATCTGCCTAGAGTATATCAATGAGGACAGAAGCAGGGGCGGACTGACAACTCATGGGCCCCCGGGCAATAGGGGATCATGGGGCCCCTGTGTCCTTGCCCAAACTCAAAAAAGCCTATGAAAAAGGTACCAGGTGCATCTCATGGGGCCCCCTACTGACCCCGGGCCTTCGGGCAGTGCCCAAGTTTCCAAATGGTCAGTCCGCCCCTGGCCACAAGTCACACACTTTAGTACATTGGGACCTGTGAATCTGGACTATGCATTTGTGGGAGCTTCAGTGGGATCATTAGCCCACAGCCTTTTGACAAGTAGCAATCTAAAATACCTTCACTGGCTCCAAATTGTCAGTCCGCCCCTGGACAGAAGTACACTATATACTCAAAGGTTTGTGCACCTAAAGCCCTGTACACATGGGCCGAATATCGAGTGGTATCAGCCGGATTACTAGAAACCGGTCAACATTCGGCCAGTGTGTACAGCTGCCGATCCGACTGAAGCCGGAAAACCGTCCAACTTCTGTCAAAGGGACATGATAGAAAAAGGTCTACTGAAGGGCATCTGATCAGCCCTTTCAGCCAATGGCTCAGAGCGCTGACCGATGTGCTCTGGCTGGGGGGGCTGTCCCCCTATCAGAACCCAATAGCTCAGTGGGGAGATCGCTGTACTAACAATTTTATAAAAGAGTACGCCAAGAGCCTCTATAGCAAGTACAGAGGGATTGATAGATGCAAAATATACCTGCAATCATATCAAACGCCTAATTGCTGCTGACTCCACCCAAAATAAGCAGATAGGTCACCGAAACTCATCAACAAATCCTGCAACAATCAGGGGTAAAGAGATACCTCTGGAAGGAAGTTTCATATGGGACCATGCAGCTTAATCAAATTATTGAAAAAATGGTAACAAATTATGTACAAAAGTGAGCTAAAACCACTAACCTCTACTAAAATTAAAAAGACAACGTTGTCACCCAAGCAGCTGCTCACTTGGCCACATTCATACATGGAAGTACATTCACATCAGTCCCTAACCCTTAAGGGGCGTACAGTCTAAAGTCCCTAACTCACATTCATACATACACATGCTAGGGCCAATTTAGACAGGATCCAACCAGCATGTAACCAGAGTACCCAGAGGAAACCCACGCAGGCACAGGGAGAACATGCAAACTCCAGGCAGGTGGTGCCATGATTGGGATTCGAACCAACGACCCTAGTACTGCCAAGCAGTATAGTTGTTAAACAGAAAGTTTGAACAAACAATCCCAATTCAGAATGGTGTTGAAGTATTAATAGCACACAATAGATTACCACAGTAGAATCGCCTCAGTGACCTCCCATATATAGCATAATAGGGTTGAAACACCACCAGTATAAGCAAGTCATTGTTAACAGCTTACCCAGCCTTCAGAAACATGTGTGTTCCTTTTCCATATCGGCAGTCCTTCGCAATGTTGCAGTAATACCGTGCTCGCCAGGTGGCGTCACATATGGCCATTCAAGCTTGTACAGTGTCCACATCAATAGTGGTATGGATGGTCCATGGTAACATGCAAAGCTCCGGTGGCTTGTTAGCCCATGAGTAGAATGGTGGTCAGTGTGAGGCAGCTTATGTGCGTGGTGACGTCACGTACAGAACATACGTGAGAGCGTGCAATCCTACATTCCTCCACTAATAACCTCTGAAGCCTCCAGTAGCTTTATCTAACTTTATCATACATCCTACCACCTTCCATGCATGAATGTGGCCGCGTGAGCAGGTGCTTGGGTGACAAGACAAAGTTGTCTTTTTAATTTTAGTGTGGTGGAGGTTAGTGGTTTTAGCTCACTTTTGTACATAATTTGTTACCATTTTTTCAATAAAGCCATTTTGATTCAGCTGCATGGTCCCATCTGAAACTTCCTTCCAGGAGTATCTCTTTACCCCTGATTGTTGCAAGATTGCTGTACTAACATCGGATTGTTAGTACAGGATTTCCTCCCAAGCTCTACATTTTTTTTTTTTCACCCCACTGGGTACTAGGCTTAACTATCACACCTACTTGGCCAAATTGTGAGGTTTCAACATTGTGGCAACAGTTTGAGGATATCTACTGCATAGTGTCTGTCTGCTCCATATTGACAATATGGGGTTGATTTACTAAAACTTGAGGGTGCAAAATCTGGTGCAGATCTGCATAGAAACCAATCAGTTTCCATTTTTTTTTCAAAGATTAACCCCTTCGCTCCTAAGGGTAAAACAAATGCTAATGTCCAAGCACAATTTTGCAACTTTGACATGTGTTAGTAAAACCATACACAGTGACTGATCACTGTGATAGTCAATCAGAGGATGTTGTAGCAATCAGGTGATCTGGAATAGGTAGTTTCAGGTTCCAATCGTTAATACGGGACCCAGGGCTCTTGGTGAGACCCCGATCTCAGTGCTGGGCGCACTCATAGCATGACGACAGATACGCAAACATGCAGCTCACGAAAAAAAAGCCCAGTCCAGTGGGGGCCACATATTTGCGTACGCTCAGCGGGAATGGGTAAATTGAACAAGCTGAAGTTATAAGCTTTTTGCTACCATGCACAGCTGCACCAGATTTACACTCTCCAGGTTTAGTAAATAAACTCCTATACGTCCATTAAAATATTCCAATATCAAGTATTTGCCATTTTGAACAGTACAGGAAGGATTATTTTGACAGTTGGTCAGCTTGAACATGTATTGCGACATGTGAACTAAAATCCCTGTTTCTGTGTAAAAGTTTACTAAAAACATGTAAGGGTGGATAGCAGTGTGCAAAGAGTTCCAATTTTTCAAAAGTTTGGGGAAGGCCAAGCATGGTCCTGGTTCTAGCATGAATGTGACCCTCTGCAACAAAGCCAGCTCCATAAAGACATTTTTTAATGAGTTTGGTGTGCAGAAACATATCTATGAGCTCAGGTTGGAACAGAAGACCTGGCCCGAAGTAGACCTGTCAATTTAGGTTTAAGGTTGGGGTCTGATTTGTCCCTTTACATCTTTAAGGGCCTGGCTTTGTGTCATACTAAAACAGAAATTACCTTCTCCATATAGTGCACATCTGGCCATTCTCTGAAGTCCAAGCAGATTCAAACCTGGAAAAACATCTCTTGAGCAATAAACATTAGTAAAAATGGAATTCCTGTGGCAATTGAAAAAGCTGGTGTCTGGTTGTAGCATGAATGTGACCCTGTGCAACAAAGACATGGTTTGATGAGTTTGGTGTGGAGGAACCTATCTACCTGTGAAGTAGGGTGCTGATGTTGGATGAGAAGACCTGACTCAAAGTAGGCCTACCAATTCAAATTTAAAGACAAGGTTCTGATCTGTCACTTTAGGTCTTTATGGGCCTAGCTTTGTGCAGTGCAAAGTCATACTGAAACAGAAAGGGCCTTCCCAAAACTGTTGCAACAAGTTTGGAAAGTGTCTAAAATGTCTTTGCATGCCTTCATTAGAAACACTTGAACTGAATAGGTGTCAGGAGCATCTAGCTCTCCTGCTCCTTCACAGCTGCTGGTCTTACTTCCAGCATCCTGGTTTTGGTTGTGATACATTCTCCCTGTCTGTCCACCTGCAAGGTGATTGATGTGGCCAGTCTTTGGGTGGAGACCAAACGTGATTTAAGCCAGCCAAGCCTACAGTCTCATGCTTGTGATAGCAAGTGTAATACAGTACGTGCTCCAAGCTCCCTGTCCTGCTCTGCTGTTTGGATTCTCCTGTTTATGATCTTGGATTGGATATTGACTATTCTCCACACTCTGCATACCTGTTGACTCAGGTTGGATAATGACTACTTTGTACCTTGCCTGCCTTATAGCTGGACTGTCATTGAACCATTCTGCCTGTCTGCCAACCACACGTACCTGTTTGCTGTGCTCAGTTTGGGCCTGCCCCAGCATGGTAGCCAGGCATTACAGCATTGTGTAAAAGTTCTTGGAGCAACCGAGTACTGGTAAGCCTGCCTGCCTTATGGGAAAGGGGGCTGCTATAGGTGAAGAACACAGAAGCCAGCTATAGCGCCTACCACCTGCGTTAGGGGTAAATGTGACAAAAGCTTTATAGGCTATTCACATGTTTTGGTCATATAGTGTAGGTGTAAGGGTCAGGTGTCCACACATTTCTGGGACCATAATATGTAAATGACTCACTCAGTAATATGGATCCGGTAACCAGTGGTGTATTCAGGTTTCGTGCTGCCATAGGCAACACAAAAATTGCCCTCCCTCCACGGACATTGACCAACAGCACCCCAGCCCCCCCCCCCCCCCCACTCAAAAGAGCCTTCCACTACCACCAGGCACCCCCCCAAACCAACAAGAGATAAGAGATTTACCTTCACAGCTCCAGACATCTCTGGGAACAAGAGTCAGGCTCTGCATACACCATCAAGCAGCCTACAGGCTCTCTCAGATTCCACCTGGTCCCATGCTGCGTGTGTCCCTTTTTCCATTCCTTGTTTTTTCCCCCTGAAAAATGCTGCTGCCCCCCCTGAAAAATGCCGCCCTAGGCAAATGCCTTGTTTGCCTTGTGGTAAATACACCCCTGCCGGTAACACCCATGGAACCTGCATCTCTAAACATAGTTAGCATTGGCAGTTCATCTGCAAGGAAATCTTCTTACCAAGAAAGCTCACATGACTGCATCAAGAATATTACAAGCACATAATCGCATAAAGCTTTATAATTGTGTCTGTCTTCCTGGCTTAAAGCTTTATGGAGAGTACTTATTGCCTCTCTACAAATGGCTCTTTGTCATGGAACTGCATGAACTCGTGTCAGGAATCAGTAATAATAGACTGCTGCTGTATGGTACTATTAATAATGTGTTATTTCGGTGTTGTAGGTGGCTAATAGACTGTTACGTGCAATCTAATAAAAGCAATCAGACATCTGAGTTAATAACCGCTAGCATGTCATTGTTTTGAAATACACTCAGATGAAAGTAAATAAAGGCTTAGTTACTTAGATGCAATTAAAGTGATCTAAATCTCTGCTGTATTATTCCAGCAACACAGATCCTGGACGAAATGTGTAATGTGCCCATTGAAGCATAGAAATAGCATTGTTATGTCAATTACCCTTCATTGTTGAAGAATGAAAGTTGCAGAGCAAACAGCCAATT